GATCGCTCCTGGCCGTGTCTTCGCGACCCTGTCATCGTGACTGACTGTCACGCGCCACGGCCGACGAGACTAACTCCCTTGCCTCCTGGTGCGTGAGTCCCAAGTAACGGTGTCGCTCTCGGCCATCCGGGTCGCCGCGCGCGTCTCAGAGCAGCTGAACCGTTCGCCCCCGAGCCGGCGGCTAGTCGGTGAAGCCCGTCACGCGGCCGCTGAGACCAGAACGCCGCACCGGAGCGGGGCTGACGTACGCTGCGTGACGTCCCTTATGCTCCTCGTCGCGTTGAAACGGCTGGCTGGGAGGTGGATCCTATCAGGATGTTTGTGCTTCCACTCGTCTACATCTCGCATGCGACTCGGAACAGCAGGTCCGGACGGAGTCTGCGAACGTTTCACAGAGTTTCGGAACAGACGGGTTCACAATCTCGATTGCACGAGATTCTTGTGATATGTGACCCCACAGCATGCCATACAGGCACAGTATGCCATGCCCATTCCCCGGCTTCCGCCATCCAGTCATTAGATATCCATTGGTGCATACCGTGACGTGATTTCATGCACGACATCCATTTATCAAGATCGTCGTCGCCAGAAGACCCGAGCGAGCCATGATTTAGCTGTACATCGCGCTTCAAATAACATTCGACGTTCACTTTCACGGATAATGTCGGCACCGGCATCTAGAGAAATCCGCTCTCGGACAGCCACCTAACCAGGAATTGTTGTGTATATATCACCCATTCGTCATTGTTTGTCCTTCGGTGCCCAGTGCCAGAAAAGGGACTTTGCGACAGTGGCTACGGACGCCCCTTTAACCGCCATACTATTCTTACTTCATTTTGGAGCGGCTACTGACAGTTGCGCGGAAAAAACTTTAAATGCGGCAGTTTCTGGTGCCACAGCTCAAAACAAGCTACAGTTGGATCCACGAGCTCTGGTAGAACCGGGTACCCGTCCTGCCAGAGCCCACCAGAGGCCGGCGCTGGGGCCGTGATCAGGGTACCGTCCTGCCAGAGCCCACCAGAGGCCGGCGCTGGGGCCGTGATCAGGGTCCCGTCCTGCCAGAGCTCGCCAGAGGCCGGCGCTGGGGCCGTGATCAGGGTCCCGTCCTGCCAGAGCCCACCAGAGGCCGGCGCTGGGGCCGTGATCAGGGTACCGTCCTGCCAGAGCCCACCAGAGGCCGGCGCTGGGGCCGTGATCAGGGTACCGTCCTGCCAGAGCTCGCCAGAGGCCGGCACTGGGGCTGTGATCAGGGTCCCGTCCTGCCAGAGCCCACCAGAGGCCGGCACTGGGGCCGTGATCAGGGTCCCGTCCTGCCAGAGCCCACCAGAGGCCGGCGCTGGGGCTGTGATCAGGGTCCCGTCCTGCCAGAGCCCACCAGAGGCCGGCACTGGGGCCGTGATCAGGGTCCCGTCCTGCCAGAGCCCACCAGAGGCCGGCACTGGGGCTGTGATCAGGGTCCCGTCCTGCCAGAGCCCACCAGAGGCCGGCACTGGGGCTGTGATCAGGGTCCCGTCCTGCCAGAGCCCACAAGAGGCCGGCGCTGGGGCCGTGATCAGGGTCCCGTCCTGCCAGAGCTCACCAGAGGCCGGCACTGGGGCTGTGATCAGGGTCCCGTCCTGCCAGAGCCCACCAGAGGCCGGCACTGGGGCTGTGATCAGGGTCCCGTCCTGCCAGAGCCCACCAGAGGCCGGCGCTGGGGCCGTGATCAGGGTCCCGTCCTGCCAGAGCTCGCCAGAGGCCGGCGCTGGGGCCGGGATCAGGGTCCCGTCCTGCCAGAGCTCGCCAGAGGCCGGCGCTGGCGGCGACGACAGGCGGTCGGCCGCGGCGCCGCGTCCGATCCGGTGGACTTGCGGGTCTTCGGCGCGTCGGCCCCACTGCTCGGATCGATCGACGCTGTCGACGGCGGATCGCCGCGTCCGACGCGATGGAGCCGCGGCGGAGGCGGGAGGCGACGCCCGCCGAACGGAGGCCTGTGTGCGTGCTCTGGAGTCGATGGCGGGCCGGAGGCGGGACGGCTCCCTCCTCGGCGCGGACGGTCATCTGTAGTCTTAGTAAGCGGTCAGCACGCATCCATCTGGCTGTGACCTGAGGTCGGCTGACCCCGATCAGTCAGTGAGCGTCAGCAGTCACCAGTCAGCAGTCAGCCATCAGTCAGGCATCAGCGATCCGCAGTCAGTATTAGCTGCCAGCAGTCAGTCACCACCCATCAACAGTCAGGCATCAGCGATCAGCAGTCAGTCATCGGCGACCAGTAGTCAGTCATCGCCCATCAACAGTCAGATATCAGCGATCAGCAGTCAGTCATCGGCGACCAGTAGTCAGTCATCACCCATCAACAGGCAGTCATTAGCGATCCGCAGTTAGCAATCAGCGACCAGCAGCCAGTCATCGCCCATCAACAGTCAGTCATCAGCGATCAACAGCCAGTCATCAGCGACCAGTATTCAGCCATCACCCATCAACAGTCAGTCATCACCCATCAACAGTCAGTCATCAGCGACCAGTAGTCAGTCATCAGCGACCAGTATTCAGTTATCACCTATCAACAGCCAGTCATCAGCGACCAGTAGGCGGTCAGCGGTCACTGGGTATTCTTAGTCACATGGTCCGGGGCCTGGCTGCTCTCGATTCTCGACTCAGATGCTGCGATGGCTGCAGCAGTTGGTAGCTGAAGGGAGTCTGTTGTTACCTCACACGTAGCACGCCGTCCCTCATCCTGTAAGAATTTAAGTGTGACGTTTCCAGCCATGGGAAGAAAAGCACGACAATAGATATCGATATGCAACTAGTCCACAGGCGCAGGAATCGCCAGGTATTTCAGTGAAATCCGAAAGCTGCGCTGTCGCTACTGAAGTAAACCGGTAGACGCTCTGGGAGTCTGCCAAAATGTATCATCTTTAAGTTAGGCATGCGTACTTAGTCGATGGCTGCGGTGGCTTCTCCTGACGCTTGGGGGATGTTTCGTATTGCCATAAGTTTGACCTTTACTTTGTCATTTGCTTCCAAAGTTTCACCTATGGGCTTAACCTATAGCCACATCTGCGTACAAGATATCTTTTCGCACATGTTAACAACACATAGCTGTATAAAATACAGTGCAGAGGCGTACGCACATAGTGCCACCACCTCACCAAATTCATGGCAATATTTAGTCGCGTGAATGCGACTTAATATTGCCAGCTAACAGCTCCACATAGATACGAAAACAAGACGGCCGAGAGTATGCGACGTTGCCCTACGATACACACAAAATGGCGCCCGGCCGCACTAAGTTCCGTTTTCAATGGAAATTTTTGAGGATCCGAGTTGTGCTTTCTGCCTTTTTTGCGAAATTCTCCACACGCCCCTGACTTAATGAAAACATAAACTGACGTTCGGCTTACGAAACGCAAGAGACGGAATAGGTGGTCTGCAAAAGGAAAGATGCGACGTACAAAATCGGCAGATTCTGCAACTTTTCACCCACGTAACTTCTGCATTTTATTGGTCGCAAGCCGCTGAAGCAGCTCGATTCTAATTGCAACACGTTGTTCCGCATCAGGCGGGTTTCCGTACCACCACTCGTGTATTTCCGTGAATCCACTGCAGGGAGACGGTCCGGTGTGCACATAAACATCTACCTTTACTACTAAGATAGCTATTATTGCGGCATGTTCATCGATAAATCGTTTGATATATTTGAAACTTTTCGCCAGTTGTGTCATGGGTAATATTACCTTTCTTTGCCGAAGCCACTCGAAAACACGTTACTTATGCTATGACGTGTATTCACCACACCGTCTTTGGTATCTTTGCACGAACAAAATGCGCGAATTTGCCCTCCGGTAAGTGCAACAGCCGCTGTGACATTACCATCCATCGCCTGAAAGAGCCACAAGGGAACTCACGCTCACATCGTGAGAAAATGCCTGTGGACATTTGTCACAGTTGCTTGAACGCCGCGCACACCGTGCGTGTTCTGAGATTCGAGTCGCACAAGAAACGCGCTAGCCTCACTCTAAGCTCATTATAACAGGGACGCTCGCTGGCTCTTCCATCGCCACATTTCGAGGAGCGAGACCTGCGGCGACGGCACGCGACTACATGAATAAAACGACTAGGCGCTACGCTACCAACAGACAGTGTAGCACAATGGTGGCAGACAAACGCGATGGTGGCAACATTTGTGACATGAGCCATTCATGCTATTGCCTCTCGCCGGACCGCGCGCGGGTGTAGCCTCTACCGGGGCGACGGAAACAAAGCCGGACTGTGTTCTGTAGCCCGGCGCGAAACAAGCGCAAATGCAAGCACAACACACTGTGGGGAAATATCACATGTAATGGTCGGTCCGCCTCCCCTCCCTCCTGCTGTGCGTCGGTGGGTGTTCGCCTCGTCTTTTCACCTCGGTGCGTCCCGCTCGGAGGTGCAGTGAGCCGACGGAATCCACCGTTATCGTCATACCCGGAGACGCGCGGCTGAGATGCCCCTCCGACAGCACCCGCTGACTGGCAAGCGTCAGCCGCGTCATGCAGACGGGCGCGAGGTCCAGACGGCGGGAGAGTTTCAGCTCCGACGGTGGAGGAGCTCAGAGAGGTCCAGCCGGCGGAGAGCCCAGCGTCCAGCGGCTGAGAGCTCCAGCTACCAGACGGTGGAGAGCTCAGAGAGTCCAGCGGCGGCGGAAGGAGCCCAGCGTCCAGCGGCGGAGAGCCTCAGAGAGTCCCAGCGGCTGAGAGCTCAGCATCCAGACGGCGGAGAGCTCAGAGGAGTCCAGCGGCGGAGAGCTCAGAGAGTCCAGCGGCGGAGGGGGGGAGAGCTCAGCGGTCAGCTGGCGGAGAGCTCAGCAGCCAGCGGTTGAAGAACCTGGGTGGGGCCGGTGGTTGCCGCGGCGCGGACCTGCTGAGCTGTGCGCCGGCCGGCCTGCGGGCGGCATCACCGTGGCGCGCCGTGGGTCCGGACGCAGTGACTGGTGGACCGTGGGATGGCGCAGGTGGCCGGCGGCCGCCTGCGCGTCCTCTTCCGCTTCAGGAGTCGTCCGGGCGGGCTCGGGGCTCTTCCTGAAGCGCTCAGCTCGGGGCCCAGCGCTTCTCAAGTCCTCAGCCCGAGGGGTCCGGCGATGCTGGAGCCCTGGCCGCAGAACCCTGGCAATCCCTGGAGTCCTCAGCTCTGGAACTTCCGCGATCACAGAATCGCCAGCTCGAGGCCTCTGGCGACTCTGGAGTCCTGGTCTCGAGGACTCTGTTCTGACTAGTGGGAAGGGGAGGCCAGACCAGGCAGCAGTAGCCTATATTGAACTCCGCGGCTGCACCTGAAACAAAGGGCGCACCGTTTGAATATACCAGCCGTTTGCATGCTGGGAACATTGCCGATGGGTTTAATCAGCGAAAGATATATCTGCTTGTGAAGATCCGCGTTCCAAGCCAGACCCCAATCAGAGGGAGAGCACTGCCCAAATCCCTCACCTTAATCCCTCGCGCTCGTTTAACGCGGACCAGCTCCCCTTCAAAAGCTGCGTGTGAAATCTGTTCGTCTCTTTATAGGATATGTTTATTCATGCTATTAGCCAGAGGGACAAAGGATCCATTTGGAGATTGCAGCGGATCTAAACGCGGGAGGGCACATGAAAAGGGAAATTACGGCGGAATATTAGACGACGACATATGCGTTGACCATGAGGAGATCACATTGCCGCGTGTGACTGTCCCCGTGGCAGCGGTCTGGGCGCCGGGCAAGGGTCATTGTTTTGCTGACCCCAACACTTCATGGCAAAACTAGTAGACCGCATTACCTTTCTAACTTGTACTATAGTATTGCTGATGCTCTGATGCATTTTCATGCGATCAGTGCAAAAGCGCGCATCATTCACGTTTATGTGAAGTTTGGCCATTATCTCGCAGCTGCTAATGATCCATTGTTAACAAGGGCGGAGACGGGGATGCTTGCCTCGTTAGCCGTTACACTTATTGGCATGTTTGTGCCGGTGCTATTTCTATTAACGAAATTGCCATCACGGAAGCTAATGATAAACATTGTGGCATGCATGTCGCGACGCGTCCTTTTGAACAATTTTTCACAAAAGATGATGACTGCCGCGCGCCAGTCATCCCAGTTTAGTGACTTATTCCATTGACAAAACCCAGTGTTCATGCAAAGAGACAGGAAGTGACGTCGCAGAACGGGCCATCAAGGCACGGCAAACAGCGCTCCCGTGCCGCTACCAGCTGCTCTCTCGCTCTTTCACACTCGGCATTCAACCCTACGGTTTGCTCTTCGCCGCCACATGATCTTCCGGTACGCTTTCTAATGTCATGTGACTTCACGGGCCACCCCCTGCAACCCCGCGACCTAACTGTGTGTCCTCCGCTGTCCACGCGACCTGACAGCGAACCGCCTCCCGCCGTGTGACCTCGCCCCTCCGGCGCCCTCCCTCGCAGGTCACAGCGGCCCCGCCCGGCCCGCGGAGGCCGCCCCACCCCCGGCCGGCGGCGGGCCGTCAGTGGCTGGGCGGTAACGCGCCGCGACGGCCGGGCACCGCTCAGGCCGACCAATTTGGCCGCGCGACAGACGGCACCCGCGGGGACAGCCGGGCAGCGGCCGCCGGGGAGAGGGGGGGGGGGGGGGCCACCGCGGGCCGGCAGCACGGTGGCAGATGGGACACCGGGAGCGGTATGCGCGGCGGTAATCATATCAGGGCGGCGGCGGCATCTGTCCGGCTGGGAGAGGCGACAGGTGGGCCGCCGAGGGGCTCTCGCACACAAGCCCCGCGCGCGCCGCCCGCAGATGGCCGTCGCTGGCCTCACGTGGGACCCGCGGCCAGCTGCGCGGCCCGGCGCGGTCCGGCGCGGGTTCGACCCGGGTCCGGCGAGATCTGGCCCGGGTCCGGCCCTGGTCCGGCGCGGGTCCGGCGCGGGTCCGGCCCTGGTCCGGCGCGGGTCCGGCGCGGGTCCGGCGCGGGTCCGGCCCTGGTCCGGCGCGGGTCCGGCCCGGGTCCGGTCGGCGCTGGGCACGACGACGGCCGCATAGCATGGGGCACAGGGAGCTGCTGGCCACCCACGCTGCAGACGTGGGCCGCTGGCGCAGGGACAGGGCCGGGCTCAGAGGTTCGTGGCGCGCTTGCGCTTTGTACGTTTTCGCTCTACTCACGCTGGGGTCCGATGCCATATTAGCAAGCTTCGAAAGTGAGTCGCTCCGCGCGGGCACGGCTATAGCGCGGCTGCCGCGCCCACGTGCCTGACACGTGACACGGTCCGGCGCCACCGCTGGCTGGCGTTGCGGTCAGCGCCGACAGATGGTGATGAGGCCCGGCTCACAAAGGTCACACCAGGGCCGGTAAGAGAAGCTGGCCCTGGCACATTTGTCCCGACAGACACCGATGTCATCGACTGTACTCTCTCGCTGGCCGAGGCGCGGTTCATGAACAAGGCGGGAGGAGGAGGATAGGCGCACAGCAGTGGTGTGGGGAACCATACTTAAGTATTCCACCCCCCACCCCCAAAGCCGGCATTCGCACCCATTGAAAGTGATCTCGACACACGTGCCAGGGCCAAATTAAACCATAACGGGAGAATGGGGCGGTAGACTTTATTTGAGCGTGATTATGCTCTAGTTGCTGCTATTAGGAGAGTTCATTGTCCATGATGGTGATGAGAACTCGTCGGTGGTTAGGAAGATTTTATCGCGAAGACGTGGACGGTATATAGGCGGACGATACCAGAAGTCAGCATTCGCTCTGCCTGTTGCCTCGCGAAGCCATCGACACGCTAGTCAAAAAGGCCACGCTCCGAGCAATCCTGAATCTGCCCACACAGTAATGGAGATGGAGAGGTGAAGTATCGGTGGAGCTCGCAGTCTCAGGCCTCTCTCCACACCGTCCTTACCCCGCCTGTAACCGCCGATACCCGGGCGGTACCCCGTCGGTACCGCGGCGCCCCAGCGTACCTGTTTGAGAGGCTCGGAGACGGGGCCGGGCGCCTGGTTGCGCGACATCTCCTGCAGGGGCTGGCGCCGCTTGGCAGGCCGCGGCGCTTCCTGCCGCCGCTCCAGCTGCTCCTCCAGCTGGCTGATGTAGTCGATCACGTGCTGGATCACCTCCAGCTGGCTGACGGGCCTGTCGAGCGGTACCAGCGGCACCAGCTGCCGCAGCTGCTCCAGATACGAGGCCACGCGGCGCCGCTGCCGGCCGGCCGGTGCCACCTCCGCGCTCGCTCGGCTCGACTTCATGGCTGGACAGCGGACCGACACCTCCCGCTCCGCTGCTCGCAGGATCGCGACTGACGTCAGGCCGGCGCCGGCGGACGGCGCAGCTGCGCGGCGCCAGGCTCCGCCCTCCGGTCAGAGCGGCGACGCTGATTGGCCGAAGCCGCCGCCGCTGCCGGACCTCCAAGCAAAATGACCGAAGCGTGTCAACTGGAAACGCGTCCCCGTTCAACAGCCGCCACTCCACGTCCGCACGTATAAAGCACACGGCCAATTATGGCTGTCTGGTGTGTTAGCAAACGTCGCTGAAGCTACAAAGGCGTTTGGGGCGAGAAAAACCATGAGGTAAAATTGGAATGCCCATGGCGAACCAACAATGCGTTATGACACAAACAGCCGCAAGCCAACATTTGGTGCAGTTCAGGGGCAGATCCAGAGGAGATGGCCACGGGGCCAAGGCCCAACTTTGGACCCCGAAGGGACCCATAGTCGACCGACCAGATGCAGCTTTTTAAACACAAAATGCAACCAATATGGACTTTTTTATTTTCAGGCCACCAAGAACAGGTGCAATCAAGAGTAAAGGGCGTACGAAAAGAGAGAACGAATATTTACTTATTGATAAAGCTGCTAACTGGACATTTTAAGCCTTGTCGCGCTGTCCAGAAGCCCTATGGTGTTTCCGGGGATCTATATGCCCACTTGCAGTGTCATTCCGATCGCCAAGGAGCCTTCCACGTTGGCCTCGACTTATTTGCGTTTTCTAGGAGGGTCCTGCACTGTTGCTGTGCCCTCCCTGCTAACGTGCCAGGGCGCTCTCGTCAATCAGGGGCCTTCCATGGATTCTCTCCATCCGCCAGAAAGGCTCTGTGGGCTATAGCCGGGGACCCATATGTTAACCTGCCGGGGTATTGTCGGATGCTCGGGGACCCTTTACGTTGGTTTTGGTTCACCTACCAACATGCTCGCGATATGCTCATGGGCCCTCTGCATTTGTCTACGGCGTTTCCAATTCTATGTCACTTGCTTAGGGCTCTAGGCTCTTGTCGGGCGGCCATCTGTTAGTTTGCTTATACACTCTCGGTCGGTCGGGGCCCTCCAAACTGGGCCTGGTGTACTTTCCATCTAAATGGAGGGCCCTGCACACTTGTGGGGGCCCCATTCGTTAACCTGCTTAGACACACTGGATTGCCCGGGGCCCTGCACATTGAGCATTTTAATGTAAGGCCCTACGCTCTTATCGAGAGCCATCTGATAGCCTGCTCGGGTACACTCGATCTTTTTGGGGGCCCTCCACGCTAGGTCTTGGGTACGTGTTACTTGAATTGGGGTCCTACGCTCTTGTCGGGGGCCTATCTGATAACCCGCTCGGGCGCATTCGATCGTTCGGGAGCCCTCTACATCGGGTTTTGGGTACGTCCTATTCGAACGGGGGCCTACGCTCTTGACGGGGGCCCCTCTGTTCGCCTGACTGTTCTGCCACACGGGATTGCTCGGGGGCCCTGCGCATTGGGTCTTGGTGTTTAAATTTAGGGCCCTGCGTTCCTATTGGGGCCATTTGATAACCTCCTCGGGTACACTCCATCTTTCGGAGGCCTTCTGCACTGGGTTTTGGGTACTTCTTACTTGAATGTAGGGCCATTTATATTGGGTTTTGAGTGTTTCCTACATGAATAGAGCGTCCTGCGCTGTTGTTAGAAGCCCTATTTGTTAACCCGCTCCGACACACTCTATCATTCGGAGGCCATAGCTTATGGCCATGACCCTGGCATTGTTACGTTTCGCCAGGCGCAGCTAAAATAACGATGAAATTGTGGGCGACTGATCGTGGCACTGACACTAGCCTTGTCGCGATGAGAAGGGTTTGCCAACCATCCAGATGGCTTGACACTGTCCTTGTTCCTGCCTGCATGCGTACATGCCTTGTTCATGCCTACATGCTTGTGAAATGTCAACACTGTCGATGTACGTGACGCCGGCGTTCAGAAAAGGCGAGAACTATAACTCTACTGCCCGACGGCCAAAACTCAAACTAGATATCCCCTGTAGTCTCCTCTCCCCTGCACATAGAATATTGCTGTTTCGGTATGTATGTTGCTGTGCATGTTGTATATGTTACGTTACATCTCTTGTAACTCATTGTTGAAAGTTTTCGAGAAATCGTGCCAGGAAAACTGCATGGTTTTTCATAAGCCGTGCACCGTAGCTCCCGAGAACACATACGGCACCTTAAGTCCTCACCTCATTAATCTCGGATCCGTCTCTGGCAGTTCACATACGTTAAACGGCGCTTAAATGCAACCAGCCTTGAGACAATGGAGCTCGTGATGCCTCACTTCAGCCGAACCTCGGCAGGGCACTGTCAAGGAGCCTTGTATTTCACGTCCGCACTGTCAAAAGGAGCCTTGGACGTCACGTCCGCTTGAAACAGCCCGCTATCCGTCCCGACATCCCTTCCATTCCCGCTTTCCGTCCATGCCTTCCAAAAACCCGTCCTGGAGTCGTCTTGGGGTGAAAAAGGGGACTCAGATGTTGACATGTTGAAACACTGATACACTAAACCACCGTACTTTCTGAACTTTGCAAACTCTAACGGCTTACCGTGCAGCTGCATAAGCGCTCGATGGAGAGTGGGACCATGACAGCGCTGCATGAGGCAAGTCATCGGCCGACTATGTGTTTGGAATAGTGCGATTTTAGTACAGCATAGTATGAAGAAGGCGCCTAACAGCTTGCCAACACGACAGAGACTGAGACAACTCTGCACGCATCTAAGGCTATGATTTAAAAAGAAAATGGAAAGTACGGTAGTTTTACCTGTCCCATATCTGAAAATGTCCGACTGGCTGGAAAAAGTTGGCTGCAGAGAGAAAACTGCTTATTACAGGACCGATGGTAGAAGGGAGAGCTGTGTAGGACACATTTACAAAAAGTATGTAACCGTGCAAGGGACGTTTCGATCCCCCCCCCCCCCCCTCCATTGTGTGGAATATACAGCAGCTGAACAGAGAGCAGGAGAACAGAAACAGGATGCGTCTGCCGGTGTTGTTCTGCACGCGATAACGACACCGTCTGACGAAATGCGAGCGGCTACCAGTCGGCTACCAGTCGGCTACCAGTCGGCCGCCACTTCCGCGCAGCTGACGTGGAGCAGCACAACAACGGACGCTGTGGTCGACATCAGCACAACACGGACGCTGTGGTCGACATCAGCACAGCAGCCGACGCTGTGGTCGACATCAGCACAGCAGCTGACGCTGTGGTCGTCATCAGCACAACAGCCGACGCTGTGGTCGACATCAGCACAGCAGCCGACGCTGTGGTCGACATCAACACAGCACCCGACGCTGTGGTCGACATCAGCACAGCAGCCGACGCTGTGGTCGACATCAGCACAACAGCCGACGCTGTGTTCGACATCAGCACAACAGCCGACGCTGTGGTCGACATCAGCACAACAGCCGACGCTGTGGTCGGCATCAGTACAACAGCCGACGCTCTGGTCGACATCAGCACAACAGCCGACGCTGTGTTCGACATCAGCACAACAGCCGACGCTGTGGTCGACATCAGCACAACAGCCGACGCTGTGGTCGGCATCAGTACAGTGGCCGCAACATGAACCACCGCCGGTGTCATTCCAACAATCTGCCCTTCGGTTATCTTTACATCAATCTGCATGACATTTGGTTATTCGCAGATTTGCGTCGCAGCTTTGCGCACGTTCTAAACACCACTTGCTCTTAAGACAAAGAGGTAATTAAGCACGTTCTCTGCCTATTTATCGCCACGCCTAATTACGAAGTAACCTTCAAAAAACTCGGTTGGGAGAAAGAATGCATTTGGTCCATTGCCCACCATAAACTGCCTATACAAGACGTATGCTATTGTATTATATCTAGATGTAGAGGTGGCAGCTGGTGCCTTGTCCTGCTCATTCTCTCCCTGTGATGCGCCTCTTCCTTCCTCTCTGTGTCCGTGCGGCGGCGTTGGCCGGATGTTCCTCACCTGCGCGCGCCGGCCGGCCAGCCGGCAGGAAGAGGCGGGCGCAGGTGCGAGGAGGGGCCGCCGCCACCCCCTCCCGTCTTGAGGGCCAGATGGCCGGCCGGCCAGATTTACGCCTCGGGTCACACGGCCGCGTGTCACGGTGCGCGGCTGCGAGCAGCACCTGCCGCCGCCGCGTGACACTGGTGCCGGACGCGGGGCACGCGGCACCAGCCGGACACCGCCGGACACCGGCGCTGGACAGACACAACACCAGCCGGACACCGCCGGACACAGGTGCCGGACAGACACAGCACCAGCTGGACACCGTCGGACACCGTCGGACACAGGTGCTGGACACAGCACAGCCGAGCGTCACCGGCGGACGCAAAGGGTGCGAGCGGCGCCACTATCAGTCTAGGGAGGGCGGTCGCCGCACCCCATGTGGCGGTCGCCCTCCGAATAGTATATATATATATATATATATATATATATATATATATATATATATATATATGCAGGGATCGAAAGCTGAGCGGAGAATATTAGACAGCACAGCTGGACGCAGAAGAAACAGGACGCAAACAGGACATTGACTGTGGAGGGCTATGGCCGATGTGATCAGACCCACCGCCTACCGCCGATGGACATTGGACAGTATCACTGAAAGTAGCCATAAAATAAACATTGGCCGTGCACCAGGGGAGGACTCAAAGTGGATCAACGGCGCCCGTCATCTCGTGACTTGACTATAAAGTACCTCAGCTTTCACTGTGTTCGATCCATTTCGGTGCAACCGTCAGCGAGTTCGGAGATTGTCGTCCAAACGGGCGCGGACCGGCTCCAAGCCCCGACGCCGGGTCCGTCTCGGCGCACACCATCTCCGCATGCGGGGAGCCGGGCACAAGAGTAGAGCACAGGGCGACAAAGGCCGCCACTGTGTCGGCCAGGATGGAAGTCAAGAGCACATGCTCGAAGCTCGGCTTGCACAAGTGGTAACGGCCCGGAGGGTACGACTCAACCGTTTGAAGCTGTGCTATTGCGCTTACGGCTGACGCAGTTTGGAAAC